CAGAGCCTCTCTCCCAACTTTCTGAAACTTTACCATCGTCCCTCTATCGGTGATGACTGGAAAGAAATAACTAAACCGACCCTATTTCCCACGCACGCGCATCCCATTAATATGCCATGAAAATGCAAATTCCTTGACACGGCCGCATCAATGAAATTATCCAACTGAAAAACGCATTATCGTCTCAGTCAAGACCACGTGGTTCATAGTTCATAGTTTGTTAGTCCAGATCGTAGTTTCTTATATTGAAATACAGCTGGTCAGAAATCATCACAACACAACATTCATGCATTTAAGTGGGAAGTCATCCTCAGTGGTTGACTAGTATGCCGCAGGCTTGTATGCCGGGGTGGGAGAGCTGTAAGCAGGCTTGTAGACGGACTTGTAGACCGGGACAGAAGCCTTGTAGGCAGGGGCGGCAGCCCTGTAGGCAGGGGCAGCAGCATTGTAGGCAGGGGCAGAAGCCTTGTAGGCAGGGACGGCAGCCCTGTAGGCGGGGGCGGCAGCCTTGTAGGCAGGTGCGGGGTGGTACTCGGGGTACTGGGCCTCTCCTTCGTAGGTGACATCCGCGTTGTAGCCGCCGTAGTTGTCAGCGACATACTTTACGTGCTGGACGCGGCCGTCGGGCAGAGCTACCGAGTAATATCCCTGGGTGTTGTGGCCATCGCTCTCCTCCTTCTTGGCGAAGTTGGTGCCAGTGTAATGGTCGTTGACGGCGTAGTCGTAGGCGAACGGCCTGGCATCCTCCTTGTACTGGGGCTCCGTATGGTAAGAAGCCGACTCCTGCGAGGGGGCCGGGTGGTAGGGAGCCGGAGCGGGCTTGTAGCCCGACGTCTCCGGTGCCGGGGCGGCGGCGGCGATAGCCAGGATGGCGGCAATGACGAAGCCCTGCAATGCAGTGAGAGGGTAATTGACGGATGAGCCAACCAGTTTAGCAGAGCTGTTTGGCTACGATAGATGAATATATATATATATATATATATATATATGTAGATATATATATATATATATATATATATATATATATATATCATAGCCTCGTCATCCGTGCGATGCATGTCTCATTGGTAAACTCAAAGTGTACTTGGCTTGATATAAAGTGTCTAGTAGCCAACAGGGCACGATATCAATGGCATCATTCCAGCACATACCTGCATAGTGTGTTCTGATGGCCGGGTTGGGAGCGCAAGTGGTGTCTGCTCCCTCGGTGCTTTCGCTTTTATAGGTCGGCCGCTAACCACTGATAGACGGTCATGGTCAGATTCCAGTGAACGGACGCCTCCAACGGTGTGACCGGCTGTGCTGACGAATTCGCACGGAATTCCTGGAACACGCCCACCTCCTAAAAGTGGGAGGTGGGCGTAATGTGACTCATGACGATGATGACCGTGCGGGTTAACATGTAGCTCATGGAGTTGCACATGGACACGCCGTTCAATTTCTACCAGTATGTCGGAAGATAAGTGGAAAAGAACATATGGCTTATAACCACGCATTTTCCTAATGAGGGAAACCGTCAAATTTTTGACATTTATCACAAACTGTGGTAGATCAGAGAGTTTCTCCACCTTGGACCATGTACGTTGATGCAATTGTGAATGTAGGAGCACGCAAAACGTATTTGTTTTCAAGAAATTCGGTTTCTCCTGCTTTACTTGAAAAGTAGCTAGTCCTTGCAAGCGGACAACACCAAAGACTAACCCTCCCATTTCTTTTGTCCTCTAGCCTTACGCACTAAAGCCACCCAGCTCCGCTTTGTCCTTGAACTTTGGCCATATTACAGCTCTACAGGAAAGACTTTGAAAGATTTTGAACCTTGACTACAACTTCGTGCAACATAGGCAACATTAATATTCGATCGCCATGATAAAAATCTACACATCTTTCTACGGAGCCTGGCGATAAAGCAATGTTATGCAGCGCTGGCAAGTTCTGACTAGCCTGAAAGTTGCACATTTGACCCCTTGCGTGAACATTTTGACTCCTGTAGGTGGGGTCACCAACCCAAACAGGACAATGCAGGCCATGCATTAAAATGTTGACCTCATGTCGCATTTAGGAGAGACATGTTTGCGTAGAGGAGGGGCGTAAAAGATCAATTTAAGGTGTTGCGACAAAGAAATAGATTATCTAACATATCTTAATATACAAGTAGTTACTGACCTGACGGCAGTTCACCTTTAATCCCTAGTTATATTTCTGCTGATTTGTATCTATTCTTTCCCTATTTTGTTTTAGATTTGTCTATAAGCATGGTCAACGACCAATCTGGAAATACCGCCTTGAAAACAGATAACCACAAAAAGCATGCTTAGCGCTGGTTAGGTCATTACCCCAAAAATACTCCGTGACCAAGAAAAAGTCGAAAAAAGTAATGTATGGCGTGTAACCGAATGGTACCGACGGCGGCGGTGTGCGGTCGGTCGGTGCCGATGGAGGCGGGGCATGACCGACTGATGCCGACGGTGGAGCGCGGTCGGTCGGTGCCGGCGGTGGCGGGCATGACCGACTGATGCCGACGGTGGCGCGCGATCGGTGCCATCAAAGCGGCCGCATCAACGTGAAGCCGAGCAACAATCGTGGTCAAAACGTCTGATCACAAACCAACACAGATATACACCGCAAGGTAGTGATACACCAAGATTGGTGCTAGAAAGAAAGAGTTAGGATATAAAGCTAAACTGGTGCACTAGTTTACCACATTTGTGAAGGCACAATGATTTGCATGTGACTCAACATAATCAAGCGAGGTAAGAAGTTAACAGTAATGTGTTGTTAACAATAAAATATCTTAGAACACTTCACAACACACTATTCATGATCTTCACCACCACAGATCACTATTAAAGATATGGTGAGTGACAAAATGATGTGGGAAGACATAATGTGGTCCATAGTAAATACTAAGTTGCACTGTTTGCTATATTTGAGTTAAGTTGTACGAACCTGCCTCCCATATTGTCAAAACATGAATCAAAACTAAATGAAAACAATAGTTTTGTATCACTTTAAATTGTATTATATTAAAGTTTAAAGATATCAGGCCAGCAAAGGACTTCAAATAAACAGACAACCATTGCACTGCTCAAACCACAGATGACCATATCACATCTTGATATTAAATACTGATGGCTGCAGCAAAACGATCGAAAACAACACCAATCAATCCCACAATATTTGCTAAAATCTGTTGTTCCACAGAGCAAACCACGTCCATAGCTTTCATTCTAAAGCAGAGTCATACACGACAATTGAAGTGATGTATACACTACAAAAATCTGGTGGCATACCTATCCATCAATTAATATGTTATAAGAGAAATGGTTCTTTTATGTATGCAAGTGTGCTTCAGTTTCAGAGTGTGCTCCAGGTCCAGGGTGTGCTCCATTTGTTTTCCATAAGTTTGCAACCTTTGATATTCCATGCGTTTAAAGAAGACAGACACTCCACCTTAAAAAAGTCATTGTCAGTTTTACCATCTTATTCTCTCAACTCTTTTCCATGGGTTATGCTGCTGTTCGATAATGTTGAATAATGATATAATGCAAATACAAATAAAAATACAACTTGTGTACATAAACCAGTGAGACATAATTCAGGCTAGATAGGATTTCCAAACAAGTGATCATCATCACCTTCCTATCCGTAGCTAACCAGAATCTCACTTGACATTCCAAACTAACATTAAACTTGATGCGTGAGCAGAAAACCCAGCGCGTATCTCCGTAGCGTATCATGCTCCTGAGAACTATGCTCAAAAGAAATATGGACCGTCTCCGTGAGTGTAGGCTTCAACCCAACAAAACATTAAATGTTGGAAAAGCGCCAATTTTTCATTTGTGGCACGGGCGTAGACTTACAGAGCAAAAGAAGCAGAGATTAGTACGTCAATAAAATTGAAAAATAGCGATTGCCGGCTGCTAATAAGGCTCGTCCCGTACGACAGGTCATTGAAATAAAGGGATCCAGGTCAACATTTCATTTTTAGGAACATACTACCTCGCGTAATTGTTGACGCTTACTCGAGTACAAAACGCAAAGCAGCTTTGTGTGACTTTGGTTGTCATGACCGGCAAATAAGTCCACTGACCTTAAATGAGCACCAGTGAAATTCTGCTTACAACAGGTATCTACGTTCTAGTGCACTTTGGACACTAATCTGGATTTTAGCCTTGTGTAACGGTATTTGACCCGAAGGTCATGAGCTAGGAACCTCCGATTTTGTCAAAAGTAAGTTAACTCACAGTCTAAGAAAGCCTTTGAATGTGGTAAAAATAGATGCCTTAGTTTCTGAGATCTTAGAGAACAAAATTGACAGCACCCACCTGAGCAAGTGGTATTCAACCGGTCACCCGGGCGCTTGTTAATGCTTGCAGGTTAATGGCTGTTCGGCATTATAGCATGGCAAGCTTTGTCGAGCTGGATCAGCAGCTAGGTGGGGCGGGCTGGGCTATGGGCTGATAAATTGGAGAAACTTGCGTCTATAATCTGTATCTTTCCCAGAGAGGTGGTATTCCACAACCTTGACCTTCCGGCAGCAGAAACTGAACTCAGCTGGGGTCAGCGTGAATCTGTTGGTTTCACACAGGCGTGCAGGTTTTCGAATGCAAAGGAGAAGGCCTGCTTGATATTTAGTCGTACAGCAGCGTTTCGTCAGCATATTTGTACATGATCTCAGCGCCAGCAGTGACGTCATTACGCTTTTCGCAACTCGGCCTGACCTTATCGTACATGTGAGGTTAATATTTCTGTCGGTGACCTGATGCTTAAACGGTGCCGATTGATGCCCCAAAAATCCTTTCCCACCCTCTTTTAATCCGGTGGATTTTCCGCACGCGTTATCTGTCACTTCAAACTGGAGTCGGCTTTGCACCATGAGTTGGTCCAGCTAACGCATTGGTTGTACATCGCCGTGACGTGTGTGACGGGCAGAGTCGCGGCCCAGACAACCCAGACAATTTTTTGTGGTGAGGCTGAGTGCTGAAAGAGTTGTGCCCGTCTCACCAATTTCTGCCTGGAACGGTCATGGAGTTATCACAGAAACGAGCAAAGGAATGGCTCTTCATTCTAATGAGGTTGTCGCGTGGCAGAGGAACTTAAAAAAATCAAGCACCTCTCATCAGTTTACCGGGGAATTCGGCATAAGCTTCACCACACACAAGTTCCTACGGTAAGAAAATAGTTATAACTGGGTGCGAATCGCTGGTCAGCCTAACAGTCACGACGATTTTTTCTTACAAATGATGAAAAGATGAATCATCGCACCCACCAAACCAGGTGGCCGGAGACCAAAGGAACGGGAAACAGGGCCCCTCCCCAAATATATGACAATTTAGCGCCGTCCCTGAATCGGTGATGACCAGAAACAACTGACTTTCTCCAACGCACCCACGCGCCAACTTCGGAGTACATCCCCAGGGACTGCATCAGTATGTCATAAAAATGCTACTTCCTTAACACAGCCGCGTCAATGAAACTATCCCACTGGAAAATACATGACACCTACAATCAAGACCACATGGTCCATATTTCATAGGTTGTTTGTTCGGACCGTAGATCCTTGTATTGAAATACGGCAGGTCAGAAATCATCACAGCACAGCATTCATGCATTTAAATAGGTGATCCTCAGTGGTTTACCAGTACGCCGCAGGCTTGTAGACGGGCTTGTTGACTGGGGCAGCAGCCTTGTAGGCCGGAGCGGCAGCCTTGTAGGCAGGGCCGGCAGCCTTGTAAGTAGGCCCGGCAGCCCTGTAGGCAGGGCCGGCAGCCTTGTAGGCCGGAGCGGCAGCCTTGTAGGCAGGGCCGGCAGCCTTGTAGGCAGGGCCGGCAGCCTTGTAGGCCGGAGCGGCAGCCTTGTAGGCAGGACCAGCAGCCCTGTAGGCAGGAACGACAGCCTTGTAGGCAGGGGCAGAAGCCTTGTAGGCCGGGGCGGCAGCCCTGTAGGCCGGGGCGGCAGCATTGTAGGCAGGGGCGGCAGCCTTGTAAGCATGGGCAGCGGCCTTGTAGGCAGGGGCGGGGTGGTATTCGGGGTACTGGGCCTCTCCCTCGTAGGTGACCTCAGCGTTGTAGCCGCCGTAGTTGTCGGCGACGTACTTCACGTGCTGGACACGGCCGTCGGGCAAAGCCACCGAGTAATACCCCTGGGTGTTATGGCCATCGCTCTCCTCCTTCTTGGCGAAGTTGGTACCGGTGTAGTGGTCGTTGACGGCGTAGTCGTAAGCGAACGGCTTGACCTCCTCCTTGTACTGGGGCTCCGGGTGGTAAGAGGCCGGCTTGTAGGAGGGGGCCGGGTGGTAGGAGGCCGGAGAGGGCTTGTAGCCCGGCGTCTCCGGTGCCGGGGCGGCGGCGGCCACAGCCAGCACGGCGGCAATGACGAGACCCTGCAATGCAGTGAGAGGATGATTGACGGATGAAGCAGCCAGTTCAACAGACCTGTTTTGCTACGATATATGGGTATATAGGTATGTATGTATGCGTATATATGTATGCATATATAGATATACATATATACGTATATATATATATATATATATATATATATATATATATATATATATATGCATATATACGTTTATCTATATATAACCCATTATCCATTATCCATTATCCCCATTATCCGTGCAATGCATGTCACGTCGCTAAACCCAGTGCTTTTGGCTTGAAATGAACTCCCTAGTAGCCAACAGGGCACCATATCAATAGTATTCTTACAATACATACCTGCATGGTGTGCTCTGATGGCCGGGCGTGCAGTAAAAGTGGTGTCCGCTCCCTTGGTGCTTTCGCTTTTATAGGTTGGCCGCTAACCACTGATAGCCGGTCATGGTCAGAGTTCCAATGAATGGACGGCCCTAACGGTGTCACCGGCAGTGCTGTCGAATTCGCACGGAATGCCTGGTATACGCCCACCTCCTAGAAGTAGACCATGATGCGACCTATGAAGTTGCACATGCACATGCCATTACATTTGTGCAGGTGAGTCGGAACATAAATTGCCAGGAACAGAGAGCTTATGGCACAGCATGTTCGTATCGATCTTTTTTGGCCATGCCCTGAACCCAAGATGATCATGCCAACGACTCGGGATCATTTATTGGAGCAATTTATACTTCCCCTCTCATCCCCAACTGACAGCAGTTCTAGTCTTTTCCTTGCCTCGTTTTCACCCCATCACATCGCATTCAGTTCGCTACAGTTTAGGCCGTATTTCACCCGAGAGTAATGACAACGTGGATTAAGTGCGAGGAGAAAACCAGAATATGGAAGCATAGGTATGGTATGGAGGTATGGGGCTGAATGTTGGGATCGTTTTTGTCATGAGGATATCTTCCCCCCCCCCTCCCGTACACACACACACACACACACACACACACACACACACACACACACACACACCACACACACACACCACACACACACACACACACACACACACACACACACACACACACACACACACACACACACACACACACACACACACACACACACACACACACACACACACACACACACACACACACACACACACACACACACCACACACACACACACACACACACACACACACACACACACACACACACACACACACACACACACACACACACACACCACACACACACACACACACACACACACACACACACACACACACACACACACACACACACACACACACACACACACACACACCACACACACACACACACACACACACACACACACACACACACACACACACACACACCACACACACACACACACACACACACACACACACACACACACACACACACACACACCACACACACACACACACACACACACACACACACACACACACACACACACACACACACACACACACACACACACACACACACACACACACACACACACACACACACACACACACACACACACACACACCACACACACACACACACACACACACACCACACACACACACACACACACACACACCACACACACACACACACACACACACACACACACACACACACACACACACACACACACACACACGTCATTCTTTAGAAATAAATGGGCGGAAACAGACACTGGACGGCCAGGCAGATGCATGCATGCGTATTCGTTGTTTCAAGATATTTTTAAGGTAATAAACTATCAGCAGACTTTTACAGATACGACTCTGTCGTACTTAAACGCATCGGTGCCACGCATGTTGGCATACGTGATTTAAAATGCGAACTGTTTTACCACATACAGAACTAAGCTTGAAACGATAGCATACGGATATGATGCAGGCCATATCTGAAATGTACGCAATAATTCTAACTCGAAGCCAAAGCCAAAGCGAGATGAAATCGTCCAGTGATTCTCGCTTCGCCTTCGCTTAATTCACTCCAGGCCGGTCGACAGAAGAAAACAGCGGCCCTGCATTGGCTGATAAAAAGCCAGCGTGACGTCACTGGTGTCAAGACTCAAATGCACGTCGGGTCGCTGGAGTCCGAACATAATGCTGAGGGGCAAACAGAAACCAGAAATATTCGTGCCGATAGTGAGTACGCCGTTAAAGGGATGTGCATGAGACCAGCGAGCCAGTAACGTATAAGTTCGTGGCGAATACAATGATGGGGTTACAAACCTAGGCCGAAATCAGCAACTATGCATTGTCACGGGAAGTGAATACTCATACACAAGTCTTATCCGAAAAAGGGCGGCAGAAACAACGAGCTACTTCGTGCCCCTACCGTATAAGTTTAGTGGCAGGCGTATGTGATCAGCAAGCCGATAGCGTATAAGTTAACGACAACTTTGCTGAGGTAACAGCCTTACGCGATGAGCATTTACAATGCACTTCGGGCTCATGCGGGTTCCAACTTGTCGAGTGTGCGAGTCATCTTATGATTGTTAGACTGACAAGCGGTTCGCACCCACTGATAACTATTTTCTTTCCAAAACAAGTTGTGTAAAACTCATGCCGGCACTCCCAGGAAAACGGAATCGAGTGCTGAGTTTCTAAAGCATTTCTGCCACCCGACAGCCGGATAACAATGAAGAGCAATTCCTCTGCTCATTTCTGGAATAACTCCAAGACCGTTCCAGACAGAACCGTGTGAGACTGGCACAAATCTCCCAGCACTCAGCCTCACCGCAATTGTCTGGATTGTCTGGGCCGCGACTGCGTACATTACACACGTTACGGGGATGCACAGCCAATGAGCTCCAGTCGCTTATATCGCAAAGCCGACCCCAGTTTGAGTTGACAGAAAACGCGTGCGGAAAATACACCGGAGTAGAAGAGAGTTGGAAAGGACTTTTGAGGCACAAGTCGTCACCATTTAGCCACCAGGTCACCGACAGAAATCTAAACCTCACATATACCATACGGTCAGGCAGAGTTCCGCTACCGAGCGTGATGACGTCACTGCTGGCGCTGAGATGATATACAAATATGCTGACGAAACGCTGCTGTACGACTCCCAATGTCAATCAGGCCTTGTCCCCTTCATTCAAACACGTGCACGACTGTGTAAAACCAACGGAGTCATACTGAACCCAGCTGAGTTCAGGTTCTGGCGCCGGGATGTCATTGCTATGGAATACCACCTTCTCTGGAAAAGATATGGACTAGAGACGCAGCTTTCTCCAAAATATCAGTCGGCAGCCCAGCCCACTCCGCGTAGATAGTGATCCAGCCCGATAAAGCTCGCCATGCTACAATGCCGAACCACCATGTTTGTGTTGTGCAATTGTCGTGTAGGACTCTGCATTGAAATGAAAGCTATGGATGTGGTTTCCTGTGTGAAATAACAGATTTTAGCAAATATTGTGGGATTGATTGGTGTTGTTTTCGATAGTTTTGCTGTATCCATCAGCATTGAATATCAAGATGCAATATGATGCATCTGTGATTTGATCAGTGCCGTGGTTGTCTGTTTAATTGTGGTCATTAACTGGCCTGATAAGTTGATACTTCGATGTAATACGAAACCGTTGTGCCCATTTAGTTCCTATTCATGTTTTAGCAATATGCGAGACAAGTACGTTCAAGCTATCTCAAATGGGGCAAAGAATGCAACTTAGTCTTTAATTTGGGCCCTAGCATGTCTGCCCACATCATTTTGTCATTCTCCATAGCTTACATGGTGATCTGTGATGGTGTATATCATGTATAGTTTGTTGTGAAGTTTTCTAAGATATTTTCTTGTTGTTGACAAGTTACTGTTAACTTCTTACCTGGCTTGATAATCATTCAGTCACATGTATATCATTGCGGCTTTTTTGATTTATTTATTGGCTTTTACCAAAAGGGTTAACGTATAAACCACATTATCTTTTTATCCTAGCTTTTTTCAGCAACAATTTTGGCGTATAACTGCCTCGCAGTGTATATCTGTGTTGGTTTGTGATCATTTTTGATATGATGCAGTCTCATCAAGGATCTATTATTCTATATGAGTAAGCATAACGTGTGGTTTGTGGCAATTTTCAAATAAGCACGCATGGAAAATATTATGCTTCATTCGACTGTTCAAAATGCACAAATTCAAGCATACACTCAACGTTTCTGATATTTTGTCGCGCACCTCATATCAACGCATCATATGCCATCACGCCATCAACCATCATATGCCATCAACAACTGCCAGTTGTTAAATCCAGAGCGGCGTCATTCGTTTGTGCAGGACGTTTTGATCACGATTGTTGCTCCGCTTCCAAATAGTTGCCATGACTATCCTGGGTTCAGGGCAAGGCCAAAAAAAGATCGATACGAACCTGCTGCGTCATAAGCTATATGTTCCAGGCCATTTGTCTTCCGACTCACCCGTACAAATCTAATGGCGTGTCCATGTGCAGCTTCATGGGTTACACCATGGTCTGCTTCTAGGAGGTGGGCGTGTACCAGGAATTCCGTGCGGATTCGACAGCGCAGCCGGTGACACCGTTGGCGGCGTCCGTCCACTGGATTCTGACCGTGACCGTCATCAGTGGTTAGCGGCCGACCTATAAAAGCGAAAGCACCAAGGGAGCAGACACCACTTGTACTGCACACCCGGCCACCAGAACACACCATGCAGGTATGCAATAGAATGATATCATTGATACGGTGTCCTGTTGGCTACTAGAGTTTATTTCAAGCCAAGTACACTCTGGGGTTAGCGATATGACATGCATTGCACGGATAGTGAAGTTGATATATATATATATATATATATATATATATATATATATATATATGTGTGTGTGTGTGTGTGTGTGTGTGTATACATACACATATATGTTTATGCCTATGTATCGTAGCAAAATAGCTCTGCTGAACTTGCTCCTTCATCCGCCAATCATGCCCTCCCTGCATTGCAGGTCCTCCTCATTGCCGCCGTGCTGGCCGTGGCCGCCGCCGCCCCGGCACCGGAGACGCCGGGCTACAAGCCCGCTCCGGCCCCCTCATACAAGCCAGCCTCTTACCACTCGGAGCCCCAGTACGAGGAAGAGGCCAAGCCGTTCGCTTACGACTACGCCGTCAACGACCACTACACCGGCACTAACTTCGCTAAGAACGAGAAGAGCGATGGCCACAACACCCAGGGATATTACTCGGTGGCTCTGCCCGACGGCCGTGTCCAGCACGTGAAGTACGTCGCCGATAACTACGGCGGCTACAACGCTGAGGTCACCTACGAGGGAGAGGCCCAGTACCCCGAGTACCATCCCGCCCCTGCCTACAAGGCTTCTGC